TATTTTCGACTTTATTGAAAACTGAATACTTTCGTATTTTAAAAAAAAAAAAAAAACAAGACTTACACCTGCGTTAAAAAGGTAGGCAGATATTTTCATTACACCAGTGAAAAAAAAAAGATATTTAATTAATAAGTATTTGCCCTAATTCGGCTTTATATTAACAATCTAACTAGGGTCATTATCATCTACTCTATAAATATCGATCTAGATGATACCATAATTGATGGGTGTAACTTCAGAAATTAAGACGATTAGTGCTTAGTATTTTTATATAGCTTTTTTTCTAGCACTAACAGATCAAGGGAGAAAATTGGCATGTAAATTTCAGTATCACCAGAATCGAGGATGTAAAGGTACATCGTCGAGCAGACAATGCGTTTACTCCAGTCATGGTGAAAGGTTGCACGGTAAATTAGGGCTTCTTTATTTCACAGCCTATTAGAACTGAATTTGCCCGCTGATCTCAGGTTGAACTCCTATAAATTGTCTATCACTTAAGATGCTGGCAAAAATAATCTGTTGCTCCTATCGATCCCGAAATTGCCCGAATTATTCTATAATACTTTATTTTTGCAAGACTCGCATAAAAATGAAAATGGAGTGTTGATTCAATATCGGGACTACAGCGGCCTCATCAGTAATTTCCAACCTTGACAGATCAAAATATTTTATCCGAATGTGTGGGTGATTTAATATTTTTCCACGCAAAATGGCATAGCAATCGCTACTTCTATGGAAAACATTTAGACAAGCTCCATTCTTTAATACAATCAGCTCAAAACTGCACGACCAAGAACTACCTTGCTCCGTCCACAGTGTTGAATCGCCATAAATTCCTTATTCTTTTTTTGGTAAGAAAGGGATTCAATTCCAAAATCTCTACATTGTTGAATTCTCTTTTGTGGATGCTTCGATAAACACTACGATTAATCCTCAATAGTCATGGCTCCGGGTCAATCGTCATGTATAGGCAATATCCCTGTATTTATCACATCCTGATTATTTCCATTACATTCATAGCATGTCTATCGTTCATAAACATCTAAGGCCTGTGGCTGTTGGGTTTGGTATTAGTTAAAATTTTATAAATTACTCTGCTCATCATAACAAAGTGATATAATTAAATTATGACATTGCTAAATAAACGATTTTACAAAATATAAAAATCGTTGCTTTAGTTTCATCTGTAATGGAATCAACACATTTCATTTAGAAGGTAGGAATTGATTGGAATGTGAGTTTTTCATTTTTTTTTTTTTTTTTTTTATTTTTATTGAAGCTTATCAATCTTTTGTGAATAGTTTAAAGACGACGCATCTGTTTGGATTTAATTTTTTTCCAATATTGCATTAATAATTAAAAAAAAAAATAACGATATTTTTTCCCCGATACAAGTCTTGATTTAATGTTCATCTGTGGAATAAGATCGATTCATATATTTCTCAAGAGTATTTGCGCGTATATAACGACCGCGACTGTAGGTGTGGAAGTATTATTTCAATGGTACCTAATCTTCTTTTGACAAAAGGTAGTATTTCAGCATTTTCTGATCAATATCTTTCCCCTAATACTTATGTTGATTATAGTGGTGTACTGTTTTCTCATAGATAAAGAGGAGATCGGAGGAAACACAAATATGGTTCTGTAGAAGGATAACTAAATTTCCACAGACGGGGCGCATTATTAACGAAGAAATGATATAATTATTAAAATTATGACATTGCTAAATAAATTATTTTCCAAAATATAAAAATTGTTGCTTTAATTTAAGATACTGAAACAAAAATGACACTTATACCGAGAATAAATAGACATCAATATTTGACTAGCGTTCGACATACGAGAGCCAAACGGACAAGAGAAAACAGTGGATAAAGATACCTGGCAAATTTGTGAGAGTGATTAGTGGAACGTGGCCGGGAGGTTTGACAAAAATCACTAAGCGTTACAAGAGATACGAGGTGTTGGAGAGCCACGATCGCCTACATCCTGAAAGTACACAGCACGTGAAACAAATTCACCAAAATAGCTAGTTATTGTATCGCATTTCGATTGGCTGTTATTACATAAGCTATTCTTAATACCACTAAAGCAGACATAAAGTTTTGTGTTTACCTTTTTGTCCACTGCTTCTACAATTCTGGCGTCTTGCGATAGTGTTATTTCGTTTTGGTTTTTCCCGACTATTTACTTATTGTGGCGTAAGCGCGTCGATATAGACGTAACAGCAGGGCCCCGGATTACGTATGGACATGTTTAACACCAGTTACATCCGGGTATTCCTGGTTAAGAGCGGGACAGCTTGACATGTCTAGATACAGGCCTCTCTGCATCGGGACAAAATCCGGGTTTTTGTAACCTGCTTGAAGCTTATAAATGCAACTGAAAAACAAGCAGACGGCAAGAAACTGTCTTCTGAAGTCGGTCCATTGGACATGTTTTTCCTATAGTCTTAAAAACAGTGTTAAGTTTGGTACCTCTCGTCTCTTTCGCGTCTCTACCTATTATCCTTGTAGTCACTGGGAGAGGAATTGGCTAGGCGCCCCCACCCCAGACAGCCACATACTCTTAACGTAAATTACATTTTTTTTACTCTTTATGTATAATATCTATCACAGTGTCATCACTGTAGCGTCTATTATTATTATTATTATTATTATTATTATTATTATCACCACAAAGCCACAACAACAAAAACAAAATAATAATGATATTCATGGAATCATACTTATTATAAAACCCAGGTTTGTGTGTGTGTGTGTCTGTTCGTTTTATATATTGTTTCGGATTTCCTATATTTTTCAACCGATTTCAACAAAACTTCACAGGACTACGTAAAATTACTGTGCGGTGGTTCTGACAGCGCCAAAAATGGGAAAAACAATTGTTTTTGCACGAAATCAATTTAAAAACACGATTAAGAGGCATCGCTGTCGCGAGAATGAAAGGGGTACAACTCATATCGAGTTATACCTATTGTAAAACCCAGGTTCTTTGTTTGTGTGTGTTCGTTTATATATATATGATCGAATTTCCTATATTTTTCAACCGATTTCAACAGAACTTCACTTTTTTATTTTTTTTTTTTTTTTGGCGAGTAGTGTTTCTTATTGTCTTGCAAAACATTTTTCTTTTTTACATTCAGAATGCTTAAAAAATTCCATTTACAAGACAATTGTTTATAATAAAATTCTATTCAATCGGTAGACTCATAACGATTGAAAACAATGTTTGGGTTTGACCAATTCGTAAAGAAAAACAAAAAACACACAAAACAAAAAAAAAGTAATTAAGACATGCGTGTCCGTCAACCTTAAACAATAATCTTTGTCAATTTTATTTTTCAGTCTTTATGATGGTCGATACATGATCTATCTCTTACTGTTACAACGCCGGGCTCTACTGCTAGTTAAAGATAATTCCCCAAGAACATATCACTGTAAAAAAAGAAATTAAAAAAATCCCTTGAAGAAATCCTCCATGTCGCAACTTCATATCAGCTGAAATTAATTATTTAAAAGATTTAATTATTTACTGACGCGAAATGCACGCTTTGCTATATTTCTGCATAAATTAAATTTGGGAAGAAAACTGGTAAATGTTACATGTTTAAGATTGGATTTCTCTTTTGAATTAAATATGGCATAGCAAAACCATTTTTATCCATTATCAACACTGAAATAGTGAACCTAGATTAGAAAATGTTAAATAATGAATATTTTATTTTTCAATATCTGACCTTTCTAGCGAAATTATCCCATTGTAAATCGACTGCCACTATAAATAGTTATAATTAAAATATATATGCACAGGAGAATACACAAGCTCATTGAATCTCATTATATGAGTATGTCACCGTCATATTAAATCCTGATTTGGCAGATAAACTATAAACTCTAACTTTTAATTGACTGAAATACGATATACGAATAATAGCATAAAAATTTATTGCGATTCATGTAAAGAATATTTCGTCAAATATGAGATAAGAATTAGTGTGGAGATATTCCCATTTCATCTGTCCTGTATTAAATATTCGTGTGCGATTCAAAAAAGACAATGGGGTCAAGAGTTAATCCGAGAAATCGAAATGACCTATGAGTTCCTTACAGATTACTCAAAAATAGAATACAATATAGATTTAGTCAAATGAGTGTTAAAGGTCATTTGGATGGATTTAGAAAGGGTTAGTATCTGATCGGATATGCACGTAGCGTTTATCGGCGAGAAACGATGGGTTAACCTGATGATTTCTAATTCCTACAGAATTCGTTACGTTCCTTTAGTAAAATTATCCATAGTAAAGTTATGTAGACATCTCTCACCGCACAAACCTGGTTAAATATTAACGTATACTGGGGTCTGAAGTCTCAGTTGCCAACTCGCCTAGAAGTAGTAATTGAATTGCAAACCTGGAGCTGGCGGCTCTACTGTTAAATTTTTCTCCTTCCTCAAAACCCAACAAAAGTGAAACCCAGCGTATCTAGATTCCCTACTCTTCATAAGGAACTAGAATAGTAATATTGCAGCAAAGATGGACTATTTGATTAACTCTTTTATTTGTTTGTGTATATGGATTATCGTGTAGATCAGATTAAAGAATGTTAGAAGTAATTTTCATAGCGACTGAACGAAACCAGAAAGATGAAAAAGATTTAGCAATTATTTTTGTAAGAAGAATATTCCTAACAGCTAATCCGTAATTTCAAACTGACGATTAGCATAGATTTACAAACCTCTCCAGTGGAATACAGTATCATACACTGCTTTTATGTAATGGGATCCGATATGTAGAAGACTTAAGAAACTGTTTAGTAATCTTCTGCAAACCGAAGGATACTAAGTTTTGCGCAAAGGAAAAAAAAAACAACTTTTCCTTGACTTGAATTCAGATAACGAGGCGTAAAATTGCACGTCCCTTAGACACATCACAGCTATATCGGTTCTACTTCTTCTAAGTAATGTGTTCAAAGAGGACGTGACTTATGGTCGCATGACGTTGAAACACCGGTTACCATTCGATCACCGAAGTTAAGCAACGTCGAACTTGGTCAGGATCTAGATGGGTGGCCGCTTGGGGATATCAGGTGCTGTAAGTATGCACGTGCAGGAGTGTTAAATGGGTATGAGCTCGGAAATAGTTTAATCGGAAAGCTGCCTTCACATTCTCGTTCGGTTCATAATATGCAATTACACGTAAAAACCCATGGGATATGCAGAGACACACCTCCTTTCACCCAGCCATGTGTTAATTAGAAACACTTGTGATACTAAAACGATTAATATCTCCAAAATAAAATAAAAATTGCATACAAAATCTACCACTAATCAATTAACCAAGTAACAACAACTTCCTGAATTTTGTATCTAATATTTTCTCTTTGTGCCGTGCTAATCTTTGTTTTACAAAAATTTTCGACAGGTTTTTAGGTAGATTATGCTCTGTTGTCCTCTGTCAATCGTGCTTTTAATATTTCTTATGAATATCAGATTTTCTACGTCGTCTTTCCTCATTATGTATGCTAGAAATATCTGATTTAAGTGTCGTTTTTGTTTCCATTTTCAATAAAACATCCTCATTGCTCACATATTCAGCGCATTTTGAACTCGGCATCCATCTGTAGAACCACATTTGAGCTATCTCCCACTCTTTTCCTCGTCTGTGTGAAGATTGTACAAAATTCCCAGTCATGCATTGTGACCGATATTGAATAATAGTCTCGTAGTATGTTATTTGTTCCTAACATAATTGTGCTGTTTCTTAATACTTTGCTTAGGTTTTGGGAGGCATTTTTCGCTATCCCAATGCTACTTAGAATTACGGTGTAGCAATTTCTGGCCTCTGTTAAAATATTTAAATTTTTGTATATGCTTGATCTTTGTATCGCTAATTTGTAATTCGTACGGTGGACAGTCTTTTTATATGACAACATTATATTGTCCTTTTTGGCTTTCTTTACTTCTTTCCATAGGGTTTGTAAGATGTCTCCTATACAGAACTTATTGTGGCTGCCAGTAATAAATATTTGTAGGAGTTCCAATTCTCTCAGAATTACCTCACTGTAAAAGTTAAAGTCCGCTGAGAAGACGCCTCTGATTTTAAAACAATGTAAAATCTCGAAATTATTTTGATTGGTAAGTATTTCAGATTGCAATGTCTTAGGCCATTATGAATATGTTGAATGCATTGAATACAGCTTAAAACATAAAATAATCCGGATCAAGATGTTTAATATTTGCAATTAAAATAAATAGCCATATAAAGAAATGCAAATAATAGGATGTTCACTGGCCTACTGGCGGCATATTTAAAAACATGAAATTATTTCGGGAATATAATTAGAAGCATAGTGTATCGACATTATTAAAATTCATAGATGGGGCGTAGCTTTCAAATCAACTTTAAAAAACATTGTGGTTTGTAATAACAGCAAACGTAGCTACTTGGGAAATAGTTAAATTATGATTCAATACGTATGCTCACAAAACATTTTTATGTGCAGTGTCCGCTCAATAGGTATGTTATGATGGCTCTCCATATTGTTCTGCCTGTTGTAACTTTTCATAACTTTTATGTTATTTCTCCCTAAACCTGTCAACACACATTACCAAATCTCACTATCATTTTACTTTCATTGATCGAGTGAGTACCAGATTTGCAAGCTGACTTTCCTCATTATTTCACCTAGAAGTCTCAGTTGTCTTTTCCTGAAGTTAAGTAAAAAATTCCCGTGTTTCCATTTTGTCGAAAACATCGTCATTGCTCACATGTTCGGTTCATGGGATTCTCAGCATCATTCTGTAGAATCGCATTTCTGCTGCTTCAAGTCTCTTCATCTTGGAGAACATTGCCCAGCTCACGAAGGCGAAAAACATTTAATTAAAGGGATACAGCATTACACTTAGGTTCCTTTTGATAATTCCACTCTTTACATAATGTTTGATTTAAAAGATCATTATTAATACAACATGAAGACCCACCTGACAGCCAGCCACCCACCCCAAAAAACAGCTGCAATCTACACTGGATATGAGATTAGTAGTGAGAGAAAACAAATAAATATGAGTATATCTAAAACTGAAGATTGTATAGAAAGTTCATTTGCTCACTTGGATGCTGTATATAATAATCGTGATTGCTCGTTGGATAGTTCTTCTGGAGAAAATATTATTACTCAGAAACGAATTCAGGAAAGAAAATTTCAATCATGTTACAGCTGAAAAGAATATATCAAGCGTAACTTACAAAGAATATTTTAACTAAATGAAATCCGTTCTGGGTAAGACGATAAACTACATACAACAGCAATGCCTCTGATCGATAGATTTTGAGGAGAGTGGAACCACCTCTTAATTACTGCTGTAACCAGGTCAGTCTTGACCCAGTTCCCTAGATATGGGAAAATACGTAACACACCAAAATGGGTGAAAATATCATGAAAGTTTAAAAACAGATTTTTTTTTTTTTTATTATTAATTATTAACAGCAGTACATATTTGAAAAAGAAAAATATTACCAGTAATATATTTTGGGGAAAAAAGTATTACAACAATAAAAATATTGCCGGCATTAAATAAGACATTGAGAATGGTATGCCGTAAAACAAACTAAAAGAAAGCATAACAAAACTGATAAACACAAAAATCAGAATTTAAATCAAAATATGTATTTAAAAAAAAAACATAAACCAAATGTAAACTAGACAACAGAAAAGAGAATTGAAATGACAAATAAATGAGAAAGGACCGTATGGTAGAGAAAAATACACCTAATATATTTTGATTTTTACAAGTGAAGGCTTTTTGAAGAACCAACCAATTTTTCTGTAGAACCGAATACAGAGACCTTGTGCCACTATGGCCCCAAACGATCCTTCACAGGTTTTGAATCCTTCGCCTAGAACAATTGCCATACATGTCTATGGAACAGTTTGTCCTACTATTTACCCATGGCCGTGGGTGAGAATTGGTTACATACATTTTTCCAATGTATTAGCTCTTAATTGAATGTAATATATTCGGTTGGAATTCGAAAGCGTCTCACTGATTCCTCAATCAGTATATGCATGTTATTTGTGCATATCATTTTATGTTTATACATATTCTATGTTAATGATTTCGGTGAAGATAACAAATAATTTCAGATACAAATTTATCCCGATAATATTGTTGCATCCGTTCACTTCCTATTTCTCCGTGATTTAATTACTATACGCTACTGCGAAATCTGTCACAAGTTATAAAATAATAATTCTACTGGTAAATTAATTCAAATCAATCTATTACATATAAATTAGATCTTAAAAATTCACGTAGATATTGTTTTCAGCAGTTAATAATTGTCCACTGTAATTTAACTAAATATGATATATAATACACACACACACAGATAATATTAATCCTTAGTATATCGCATGGAATAATCAAATGCCATTTAACAATATTTGTATTCTTGGAAGAACTGAACATATGTAGTAATGTCAAGGTTTGCAATGACTATTTCACGGACGATAGATATGTGATATAAAGAGACTTGGTCTCATTTACTTCCCGATAGAAGTCAACTAATTCTTTGCGAATTCGTTATAAATAATAGCTACTATGTTACTTTAAAAAGTTATGTTCATTTGAAATCAACAGATTGTCTTAGTGGTCAAACTTCCGGAAATACTCGAACTGACTCATCTAGTTTCGTATTATGAATTGACTCTTTTGAAGTATTTTATGTTTTAAATTTCACTTCTTGGAGAAAATTACTACTCAATGTGACATCTCACGAGTTCTAATGTATTGTAATTTAGCTTATATCATAGTTACTTAACTGGTATCTTACAAATTGACATTACGTCATAAAAGAGTGGGATATTCCTTTTGGATGGCGAGGATGACGGAAAAGACCAATCTGATATCAAGTCTTTTTCAATCGGTTAATTAGAGGAAATACAGGGAAAATAGATAATATAATTCTCACGTATTTAGCGTCAATTTCAATGAAATTATATATCCATTTCAAAACTTTTCTTGAATTGCAATATGTTAAGCTCATATATTTCAAGATGTAATATCATTTCAGCAGATCTTTTATACTCCGGGTACTCCCACAAATCTTATTCAATTATTAATTTAAAATTTAGATTCATCAGAAAAGTAAAGTTAGAAAACCTTGAAATGATTTTCTAGTATTTCTAGTTATTGCAATACTTCTTTACAAGAACAAACTGCACAACTACCACTAAGTGTTGTGTACATTAGAGCGGAATACAGTCATTATTTGAATGATAATTACATGTCGTACTTATAAGTATGAGGTGAATGTTTCTAGTCGATAAATATGTATGAATTCCAAAGATCAATTAAATTATTTTATCCCCCCCCATGCATCTACCAGCCTACTATCTGGTAAATTGTGTACGTGATCAATTGCAACTTGCATAGTCTGAAGTGTGCAATCGTTTTTCCATAGTTTTTTTTCTGTATCACCAAGCCATGTAGGAATAGGAATATATGTATTAGGGTGCTCATTCATATTAAATAGAGATAATGTTTCGACGGACTTGTTAAAACATGAAAAGCTTAAAGAATTACTTATTTGCCCGCCTTTTGGTTGCAAATAAATTTTGGTATTAAGGTAAAAGATGGATATATAAGAAACCCCCAAAATCAAATTTATAACCTTACCATTATGTGACATTTTCACTAACCATGAAGAAACACTTACAGTATTAGCGCAAATTATACAACGAGTATATTTTTTTTTTAATGGTAGTGAGGCAACGTTTAATTACCAGGACTTTTTGGAAAAGAATATTAGTACTTTTCATCATGTATTTATTGAAAGTTGTTTTACAGCGAACATCATCTGTATATACTAATAGTCACAAAGAAATCTGGGCACCTCGAGGTGGTATGTTTAGCAAGCTTTTCTCGCTCGAACAATTACGACTGAGTAGTGAGTTCGATCCTCACTGGGTGTCCCATACTTTCGGCCTTGTGCCACATCCGAGCTACGCTTGGAAAATCTCTAGTCACAAGGAAATCTACTAGTATCCGTGAACACTGGTACATATCGTAAAAGGCGAAATAAAGGTACATTTGG